ATTTCTTTTATTTTAACAAACTTTTGTATGAGCAACTTGTTCAACTGGCTTCTATAAGCCTACCTTGCAACATCTTATAACTGTGCTCTGTTTTTTGTTTATGTAAAACTAAAAAATATCTTGAGTAAAAAAAAAAGGCTAATCCAGTTTCTCATGGCTAAGTAAAGGCTGGAACATCAGAATATTACATAATGTTACATATTTGTACATTTCAGATTGTAATATTATATGTCATGCTGGAATTCATGCATTTAAATATTGTTTTGTTTTTAGTAAGGCAATCAATTTAAATGGTTTACAGTTAATGCAAAAGCTTACTGTTAAAATTGAGTAAGAAAATTGAACAAGTTTGATTCATTTTAAACTCTTTAAACTTGTTAATTCATAAATTGGCCAACAGCTTCATAATTATAGAAAAGGTTGTTAGTGGAAGCTCTACTGTTTGCCAGACTAATGAGCACAAAAATGTAGCTAAAAGCCTCAGCGACATAATTAAAAAAAACAAAAACAAAAACAAGATGCCCCACAGGTGTAAAAAGAAAAAGGTAACTCGGCTCCACACTTACAGATACCCCCAAGGGGGATGTGTTCAAAAGCTTCAAAGTAAATAGTTTTAGAGACAGGATAACCAAAGTTAAGCTGTGCTGAGGTCTTCAAACATGAAATGTTCTTATTTACCTTAACCTCTTCACTGTGGAAAATGTTAATTGATTTTGGGTCATCATCTTGCTTTGTCAAAGACCAAGTTATATCAATCTTTGTTATCATAGCTTTGACTATGGATACGAAACATTTGGGAAGCAGCACTTAAATTTAAGTTATTTTCTATGACAAATATCAACATTATCTTGGTATTTGGAAGAGTGGTGGAAAGTCACTGGCTTTTAATGTGGCTTTTCCACTGGAGCGCTTTTAGTTTCAAATCAAGGCTAGTGTTTAAGCCATTGGAAGCGAGGGTTTGCTTTTCTTATAAGAGCAGAGTTAGAGCCGCTTCATTATATCAATTATCTCTTCCACTTCATGCATTTTCCTCCCCTTTTTATTTGTTATTTTTGTAAATGATCATAGTGTATAAGGTAAGCCATAACACAAATTATTAATCACAGGATTCTTTCAAAAAGATACAATAATATCATACCTTTATTCGGCTTTAAACAAAAAAAGCATGTCTTATAAACACTTGACAACCCTCGAAAGCTGATCTCTCATGCACATTCTAAACATTTAAAACCAAAAACGAACAACTTTTGACTTCTTAACACAATCTTTTGATAGTAAACCTAAACAGCAATAAACAGTTGAATGAAAAATGGGGTTTAAGGTTTTAATGGAAATCAGCTAAGAGCAAAGCTCTTTTTAGGGCACTGACCTATTTAGGCTCAAAGACAGGTGGATTTAACTTTAACTGGGAGAACATAAGAGAAAATAAATGCGTTATTCTGGGTTGAACTGGTACTACTACTACTACTACTACTATTGTTTAAATACAGTGGTTTTCTAGAATTCATTTTTACTGTTTTTGATTGGTCAAAAACTAAACTTTAAATTCAGTGGTTACAGGTTTTTGATTGGGTGCCGTTTCTAGATAACCTCCAATTAACTTTGATAAAATACCATTTAAAGCTTTTTTACTAATGTTAACCAGAAGCAAAAAATTAGTAAAGAAAGCTGCATTTCAGAACAGCAGACAAATTATTTTTCTGAACATAGTTGAAATAGATGCCTATTTGACCAGGACTGGCATCCAACTAATATCCTTCTGGAAGATAACGTGGTTTTAACTTGTACTTTAAAACAGATGTCCTCTGTCTTACTTAGGCAACACCGGGCCCTCTAATCACCATCAGTAGGGCAATGCAATAAAGTGCTTCAACGACTGAGACTGACTGGGAATTTGGTGACATAACCAGTCCCATTTTTTGCTACATCCAGTATCTTAAGCGGAGAGGGAGAATCATCACCATCAGGGTAGAATGTTTGCAAGATTATGCATGAAAATTCGGTGATACTGCAACATCTGATTAGCAATGTAGGTGTGCATAGTGAGGCAATGGGTAGTAGGGATGGGACGATTTATGAAAACCATCAGAATCGTTCGGTTCGACTGTCTCGGTTCGGTTCGCGCGTGTTTCGTTCGGTTCATGCGCTGCTCCTTTTTCTCATAGATTAAGCGATTACACTCCAGAGCAGAAGGTGGCGGTACTGCGACCAAAGCCAACCGCCAGTAGTAAACAAGAAGAAGCGAAGCAGCTTAGCCGGGTGTAGCAGGGAAAAAAATCAGTTGTTGTGGAGAATTGTGTCGGACTGGCGAGTGAGAAAGAACAGGAGTTGGAAGACGCGCCAGCAGCACTTTATAGGTCTGCTGTATGGGACCGCTTTGCATTTAGAGTGACCTACGATGATGGCGGAAAGAAAGTTGTGGATAAAAAAGCAACAGCGTGCAAGCATTGTGCAACATGTTTTGTTTATGCTAACAGCAACATGTCATGCTAACCCCGAAATCCCTCATACTCCGTCAGCAACCCCCGCTGCGCTCCAGACCAGCTGCTCAAAGCAAAGCCTACAGCCCCCACTGTGGCTTCGTCTGCTCCCCTCTGAGTTCCTTGGAGATGGTAGAGAGCATGTAACCTGACAACAGCCAGCGGAGCGAGACATGCATCTGGCTGTTGTCAGGTTAGAGAGCATGCGCCAGATGATTAAACTCAAAGCAGCAAAACATACGGAAATGATCCAGGGTTTCCGCGGATCATTTAAAATAATTACAATCCATTATTTTGGGGGGGATTTTTTCATTAATTTCATAATTTTTTATGGGATTTTGGTGTAACAATCAACATGTATCGTATCGAATCGAACCGAAAACCGTGACCAGAAACCGAGAATCGAACCGAACCGTGGATTTTGTGAACCGTTCCACCCCTAGTGGGTAGCAGTACTGCCTTGTAGCAAAAGGTTTCCGGGTTTGACGGCCAGGGGTCTTTCTAACCTTACTCCGCCAGATGGATTTGCTCCGCGTATCCATCTGGAAACCTTCCGTTGAAGTAATTTTGGGAAGGGGCGAAAATACTGGTTAGCTGATTGGCGTAAGTTGGTGATAGACGGGCCAAATAAACCAATCAGATCAACGAAGCATATGACGTACTAACAGAGCGACGATGAAAACACAACCGCAAGCCAGGCTACTCTTGCCGAAACCAGTCGGGAGAAGAGCAAAAACGTCTTTTCCTCTGAGAAAAGCCTCCAGAACAGTGTTTTGCTCTTCTTTCAGTGAAGAAATACAGTGTAATTCCGATAAAACTCGATAGCCACGCTAAAGCTAGTTTCATCGGCTGAAGTTGTTCTTTAGACTGAACTGTCGCGCATCTCATTGCGTCACACCTCAACCCGCCTCAAAGCCAATGCTGATTGGACGTTCGTTTGGTGAACGGCTCCAAATTTTCTTTAACGGAGAGTCTCCAGACTGATTAGCGAGTGAAGTCTTGAAAGCTCGCGAGATCAGGATGGTCTCACGAGGCTAGGGTCTTTCTGCATGGAGTTTGCATTTTCTTCCTGTGCATGCGTTTGTTCTCTCCGGGTACTCCGGCTTCCTCCCACAGTCCAAAAACATGACTGATAGATGAATCAGGTTCCCTAAATTCTCCTTAAGTGTCTGTGTGAATGGGGGTTTGTCCAGCATGTCTCTTTGGTGCCCTGCAATAGACTGGCGACCTGTCCAGGGTGTACCCTGCCTCTCGCCCATTGACAGCTGGAGATAGGCACCAGCATCCCTCATAGCCCCAGTAGGGATAAGCATGACAGAAAACAGATGGATGAATGTAGGTGTGCTTCACATATATAAAGGTTAATGTGAATTGCATAATTTATAGTGCAGAATTCATTGATATCCATTGACCTTAAATATCCGCAACAGCCCGGCTCCACCAGTGATCCGATTATGTGTATAAATACGACAGATATGAAAGTTCTTAGATCAAAGTTCTAGTTTTAAATCCAACATACAAACAAGAAATACAACTAGCCTTATAGAAGCATCAGTAAATATAGTGTGTCCATTTCATTTAGTCTTATTTTTATTCGACTCAAATATGCTTGAAAGTGTAAACTGCTGGGTTTCCTAGGCATAGAATAAAAGTTGTGGGAGTTATACCTTTTGTATTTATCATGAAGGAACAGACAACTATTCGACTAATTGTTGAACCTCTATAACCTGTAAACAGCCTATCCATTAACAACAGAAAAACAGGTGTGCTTTTACAGAAAACGCCACCTCAGTGTTTGATAAACACAAAAAAAAAGACAAAAGCTGAACACTTAGAGTAACAACATTCTTTCTCAAAAAGAAAACAGATGTGTTGGCGTTTCCTGTGTATGAGTGTGGTCCTGTTTGGCCATATTAGTGATAACAGTAACAGCAAATTATTGTCCGGTTGTTTTAAAGTGAGGACATTTTCCTGGTCCTTGAGTTATTTTGCTAACACTTAGGTTTAGGGTTAAGTTGTGAACAGAGTTTAGTTTAGGGTTAGAGAGGTATGCAATGATAATGGTTGCGTTTAGGGTTATTGTCTGGGGTGGGGCATATAAAGTGTTGAAAATCAATGGAAGTCAACTCATGGTTCTCACTACACATACCAAGTTGAGAATGTTTGTACGTGTGTGTGTGTGTGTGTGTGTGTGTGTGTATGTGATTTGTGTGCTAAGAGATTGTGCCTGATGACCTGGGGAATAACACCTGCTGAGAAATCAATATCACAAGGAGGTCTAGTCAAATGCTGCAGAGTGGTAGGAAGCAGGAGATACAGCCAGAGAAGCCACATGATACTCACCGGCCAATAGGGAGAAGCAAGCAGTAAAAGGTAGGATTAGGAATTCCGTGTGGGTCTTGAGATATAAATCCCTACTGTGTACCCACCGTTTTAGAAGTAATTGGCTTTTCAGCTGTTTAAGTGTGTGTGTGTGTTTTATTTTTTTTTTTGTTTGTTTTGTTTTTGATTGCCAGATACCTTGGTTAACAAAAGTACTCGTTTTTGGAGACGTCGGACGAGAGAATCTTGAGCCTCTCTCTTCTTCTGCTCCTCCAGAGCCTTGCTGCACTGCTGGGTCAGCTCTGCTTGTAGGTCAGACAGGGATCGCTCCAAACTTCTCACACTGATGGTAAATTAAAAGGTGGGAAGTAATTTGCATTGAAAGAGAAAAAGAAAGAAAGAACGAGATTTAGGAAAAAAAGGAAGTGTGTTGATTAGGGCTAGATTTTCATACAATTTGAGAAAAGCAATTTAAAGTCAATTTAAAATTATATTCCCTCAAAGACAAACTGCCTGCCTGATGATGGTTCAGAAATCATTTGAGGCAGAGATTTGTGTCAAGTCTGATCAATAGGACAATAATTACAACGGAGGGCAATAATTACACTGGAAAGTCTTTTTACTGACTCCTGCTCATTTATCAGCTTCCAATTTTGCTGGTTCTAATATGTCATAATGAGGCGAATAAGCACAGCAGAGGTGAAATGCTCGTTAACCAACAAAATCTGGACTTCAGCGCAGCATTAATAACCCACAGCATGCATACAGTCCTCCCTGCAGACATCACCTCTGTCTGAACAGGACAAGTTTAATTAGTGAATTCCCTCTCTCACAACATTTCAAACACACACACACACACACATACATCAGTGGCTACTGTCAGGAGTGCTATCAGAGTCAGGACCACTTTAATTAACTTTGTGACAATTAAGGACTTCTCAGAGATATGCTCTAATAGATACATGGGGGAGAGAGAGAACCATGCAATGCAAACAGAAAGAGAGAAATAAGTCTGAAACAAGAACGAGAGAAAGAGAGATAGGAGGATTTTGTGTGAGGCAGACGGCATGTATTACCGGCTGCTGAGTGTGCAGCTCTGCTCTTTCAGAGCAATTTCTCTCTGTTGGATCTGAATCACCTCCCTGGACAGATCCTCTGGTTTCCTGCAGACACACACACAGCACTGAGTAGTTAGCATACACATATGCACGGAGACAGCAATGAAAAATCAATCCGAAGTAGAAGCGGTGGGGATGGAGCAGATGAAAACAAAGCAGCGTTGGTCCTTATTCTTTTAGCCATTAGCCAGTGGGAAGCTGGGAAATAAAATGGAATGATCTACAGAGGAAGAGGCTAGAGGCAAGAAAGTTAAAACGCAGATTATTGCAGAAAACAAACTCCCACAGTGGGAGATACTGACATTACATAAACAAACACGTTGTCCGATAAAGGGAATAACAGAACTGTAAATGGATTCTGTGGAACAAAAATGTGCTTTACTAATTCAATATTAAAATATAAACTAGAAATAAAAAAGATTGACCAAAGAGATGGATGACCAAAGAATATAAAAATCAAAACAGATAGGAAGAACGGACAGATTTATTTAAGAAAACAGGGACAAAGATGAGCAGGTAAGGGGCCAATTTAATGAAAGGATGGCTGGATAAAATATTAATAAAATGTTTTTTTCCATTTCAATACTTAAGGACTGAGAATTATCAAAAATCAAGCTTTACACATTTGCAAATTATAAAAGATTAGAAAATAATTTTGTTCCTAGAATAAACAACTGCTATATAAAGCCCGCATTATGAAGCACTGATGTCCCGTAACTCAACTCTAAAGCACACAGACTGAAAGGCTTTCTTGTGTTTAAGCAGTTCCCATTCCTGCCATATGCTTATTTTTTTGTTTTTCAGTCTACAGCCCAGTCAACTCTGCAAATCACAGATGGTTACATTCTATTGGGTGATATGTTGTGAATAACTACATGCGGTAAATGGACTGTCAGGGGACTAGAAGTCAGTTGTAAGACTCATTTAATACGCTCCCTTCAGTAAAAAGGCTAACACCAAAATAACATTTGCCCTGGTTTAAGATGTGGGGGCTGCATTTTATCAAACATAAAAACCCAAGACCAACATGCTTCCCTCTGTTCTTTTTTTTGTTTTATCTCCAGAATAATTTGTTTTCCTCCATTTAACTTGAAGAGTGATGCCATATTGTGGTAGATGGCATTTCTGTTGCAATTCTATATTTCCTAAAATATGAATATAGCCACCTTCCTCAGGGGCGCAGTGGGTAGCACTACAGCATTGCAGCAAGAAGGTTCTGGGCTCTGAGCTAAAACCTCAGAGGCTGGCTAGTTGCTGGTGGCATAAACCAATGTTTATGTCTACAGATTACACCCAGTGCAAAAAATATTAAGTTTGGAGCTCAGTATAATCAAAAAGGGCCAAGTAAACTTGAGGAGGACAAAACCTTTGTTGATATAGATACATTTCAAAATAAAATAAAAAAACGCCTTCAAGTTTTAGGGTAAGACTGGAGGCTCCACAACATAAAACCTTTGAAACCAATACTAGGAGCTGTATGTATGTTAGAGGAGAACAAAAAACCTCCAGTAGCAAACCGTTAACTGCATTTTTACATGACGTCCAAATGTGACTATGGGCTTAACAAGGAGGGTGGTTTAGAAACCACAAGTCGTGAATTGATCTCAAGCTTTTATCATAGACTTGGACAACTTTTATTGTCATTTTGCATACACAGAGTTTTTATAAAACGAAATTCCATTTTGTACAGCTTTCATGACATTTCCATTACTTAAATGGCAGCAATGATCAGATGTAAACAAGTGTGGGGGGAGGAAATACATGGTGAAAAAATATGCATTGATATGGAAGTTCAGAGCATTAAATATATATGGTGCAATTATGCAGTGTTTTGGTTTGGTGTTGTCAGTATGATGCAGAGTCTGTGACATGATTTAGAGTTTTTTCAACATCCAGCTGTCAGATGAAATGTCTTTTATGGAGGGAAGATGAGCCACAATGATCTTCTCTGCTGTTTACACCACTCTTCTCACCTTCTTCCAGTCTGCAGCGTTGCAGCCTCCACACCACACAGTATTAAAAATGTTTTCTTCATCATTCTATGAAGAAACATTGGGTATGTAGCAAGAAATTGTACTCAATAAAAAGTAGCGTTAAATTGAAAAAAGTGATCACAAAGGATATTTTATTGATGAAGTTTCTCAGGTAAATAAATGTACTACCCACTTATAATGGTCATGGAGTCCTGGAAGGCAAAGGAAAGAGCATATATAGCAGTGGAGAACATTTTTGATCTGAATGGAAAAATTTTAATATTTTGTTTGAAAGAATTAAGACAACTCAGCTTTTTATGCCAAGCATCACTGTTATATTTTAAAACTTCAAACCTAAATCACCATTTTTATTTGGCTTAGTATGACGTCAAGAAATGGGACATTGGCCTACTTGTGATCCGAGATCATGTTGCGGCCTAGGCAAGCCTTCCCTTATATATCAGAATTACATTGTGTGCCTGTTTATCTTGGAAAGAGTATTAACACATTTGGTAATGAACAGCTGTAGAAAACGCAATGGTATTGGCTACAAATAGTTTGCTTGATTAAATATATGATAAAACTTGTTTTAGATTTTAACCTTTATATTTATAAACTATATTCAGTCTGTTGCAAAAGGAGTTTCCTTTTCCAGCAAACACGACTATGCTACTAATTATTTTTCTTCTGCCTGTGTGATGCATGGGCTTCAACGTTGATTTGTCTGTTGCTGCTTTGAAATAACTTCATGGAATTGACATAGAAGAAAAATCTTTTCCTCTGATCAGGAAAAGTACTGCAGGTAATATGGAGCTTCAAAATGTCACGTTTTAAACTATCCTTCATTTATCAAAGCTTTATTTACTCTTGCTTGCAATTCAGAGTGGGCAGTTGCTATCATGTTAGTTAGCTGTGCTTTTGTGTCTGACAGACAACACAAGAAAACCTCTAAATCTGCAAAAAAGCTGTATATGCAAGCATCACTGACAGCCAATATCCAGAATTATCATGCTTATGTCAAAATGATTAAATTAAAATAAATATATTTCAATGCAACTCACAAACACTTCTATTATCTAAAAGGTAACTAACCAATAGCACCAAGAAAATCATTTTAAAAAGAAAAACCTACAAGAATGGGAAAAAAAAAAAAAAAACACAAACATGCCAATTTTGTTCCCAAATAAAAATTGCAAAAGGGGATAAACACATTGCAACAACCCCCTTATGAATTTCTTTGACCAGTCCAACAGAGTTATTAAAATAAATTACTTTCATTTTCCATTTCTTTTACTTTAAATTCTCTAACTCTTTGTCTACGCAGAAGCAGACAATACTTATCAAAACCTACAACAGGATAGAAAATAACTAGTAAGAGGCTGCGAGCTGCTGGTAGAGTCATAATGGGGTGTTAAAGGCTTGTCTGCCTTCCCACGCAGCCACATGGATTGGGTCTCCTTGTCCAAAAATCAATTGCAATCTGGCCAAAAAGAAAAATGGCAGATGAGAAAAAAAAAAGAAGCTTCCAAATGAATTGGTGTTACAAAACAGAAAGTTTTCAACTAAACTGTAGTAAAACAGCATATTAGGCAACTAAATTAACAATCACTGCAACCATAAATGTCTGCGCCATCGTGGCAAAACCATGATAAGACATCTTCCTGTAAAAGTAGTAAATAAATGCAGTCTGAATAAACTTTGTTTTAAAGTTGCAATTAAATGTGACATTAATGTTTCAGAAAGTCCTGAGTTATTAAATCTTTACAATATCCACATAAATTTTCCCTTTCACTTAAACTGGATCCATTTAGATATATAACACATAATAATTCCAAATTCAGTTTGATTTATTTTATGATACTAGCATCACCATATAACTATTATACAGCTATCATGATTGAATCCTGATGTAGGGACCTGTAAAAGTCCACAAGCCTACCATTTAATTCCATCAGTGCAGAAGTGCATGCCAATACTAATTTTAGCCCCGCATTGTTCCTCAGGGTGATGTAAAGGTGAACCAATTGCTGAATGAAATACAATGTCCTCAATTTATCAAGAGAAATCCTTCATCCTCACAAAATCCAACAGGTCTTTAACTCCAAACAATGCTTTTAAGAGTCTCTAATAGGAGACTTTGTTCAGTGAGTGCCTAACATTATTGGCATTTTCTTTTCTCTTTTAACAAATTATGCTTAAGCTTGCATGACAAAAAAGATCTTAAAATGTCTCGAATTCATAAAAGGAAGGAAGAAAAAAATTAAACTTGCTTTTTATTTAGAAATACAAAAAAACACTCAATTTATTAAGTAAATATTAGTTTGAATTTACACAGTTATTAGAAGTTGGAGAAATGCAATCAAGTCTTATAATATACCAGCATGTACTCAACAGCCGCTATTATAGTAGCATCATGCTGATTATCCTCAAGTTTAATTGGGTAATGAGATTAAATAATATTAGAGAAAGAAAAACGAAAATAAAAGGAAACGATCATTTCAATTCATATTTAAATAGAAAATCAACATTTTAATGCCTAAAATACAAGAAAAGCTTTGTTGTACGCCAGTATTCATTGCATAGGTTGCATCTACAGATAAAAAAAACAAAAAGGTACAAAAAAACAACATGGCAGGAGCTTCGCCCCATCTTTGGGAGCTTACATTAATACAGTGTTAGGTGCTTCTATAGTAGGGTTTTCAACCCTGCACCTCAAGGCACACTGAACTGCATATTTTAGATCGGGGTTTTAAGCTAAAATCCCTGAGGGTTGGAGTACTGGAACCTCTAGACGTGCCCCTTTCCCTACACACATGTATCAAATGGCTAAACTACCTAACTAGCTCTGCTAATAAGCTCACACTGGAGTTTGGTGTGTTGAAGAAGAAATGCATCTAATAGTTGCAGGATACTGGCCCCTGAAGACTAAAGGTTGAGACCCCTGGTTTAGAAGTTCCCCAGCTTTAACACAGCTGATTTCCAGACTTTGCTGAACTGCGGTCATTTGAAACGGGTATCTTAAAGCAGAGAAATATCTAAAACCTGCACAGTAGTGTGCCTTGAGGACCAAGGTTAAAGGAAAAAAAAAAAACTAAAACACACTGCTGTGCAGAAAAAGTTGTAAAAGAAAATAGTGCATTAACCTCCCTTACAAATGCATTTTTATGTGATATTCTTTACATCAAATAACATAACAAGGTGAACTAATCTTTTTTTCACAAACAAATTTGAAAACAACGCAGAACGGTTGGAATGCCACAGCATTAAATATTTTCTGCTCAGTTACTGCAGCACTGAAGACAAGCTATTACCGAATGCTAATTGTTTTGCAGCACACACTGCTATTTTGTTTGGTTGAAGTGATTCCGCAAATTTATTTCAGACTTAGGTATTCCATTGAACTGCCTTTTTTAAGGTGAAATGACTTCACGGCAAAAGACATTAATGGATTTTGAACAGAACAACTAGAAGCATATGTTTACATTTAGAACAGATTTTCCCTACTAGAGGATGTAAGGTTGGAAGGTTCCAGGTGATGCTTTAAAACCTCAAGAAAATATAAACTATGTTACAATAAACTACTTGATACTTAACACCATTTTGATATGGCAGCAATATCTATTTAGTCACATGATGCCATCTATGAGAGTAAAAATTGTGATTCATTATCATTAGCAAATGAAACCATCTTAACATTCCCAATTAACACAAGCAATATAGGGGAAAGTTCAACCTTCATTTAAAGGAAGTGATCTAAGAGAGTCGAGTTTATGTTACAATGTTGTCAGAAATTAACCAGCAGGCAGATTTAATATAGAATTCGACATCCTTACAGAAAAACAACTGCACAAAACAGATATATTTACAATATTATGTCCAAAATATTGCACCGTACAGTAAAAGACAGTAATACTGTTGGAAAACATGCAGTCTGAATCCATAAGGGAAAATTTACTTTAGCTTAATAGAATAAGGTATAATAGTAGTCAACCATACAATATCCCGATACAATGTTTGGTCCACTTCAACCACAGAACCATCACATGTATCCAACCTCTTAGTTTAACCGTATCCTGATCATATCTCAGACATGAGCAGCTAAAGTATATCGACCACTAACGAGCTACTATCACACATTTAGTTCATCGTATTAGCGACCTGTGCACAAATGTTGGGTGTTAAAACAAAGAAACAGCGGTGCAGCCTTGGTTTCCTTAATTTTGAGAGATCAGTGATGAGCTGAATCTATCAGAAAATCAATGCTATAAACTTGTATTTTTATTTGTCATTTCATAGGTAGATTAATGCCTTTCATTAAGATAAGACTGAAATATTGAAGGTGTCTTCTTATAAGAAGTGACAGTGTCTGTTATCAAAAAAAAAAAAATCTGTATCAATCAAAATCAGAATCAGCCAGAAATCTGCAATCGATGCACCCCACTAAAAAAAATTTTCTCTTTGCTTTCAATTGTAAAAGCAATTTTTTTGTGATGAGCAGAACAGCGCAGCCTAAACCATCCTCTCCACTTTAATCTACTGGCAGCAAGTTCTGAGGCATCAGTTGGTGAAGATTCTCAGTCATCCAGGTCATAGCAATTGCAAAAAAGTTAAAAAACAATCCACTGGACTTTGTTTACAAGTTTTAAAACGTTTCGCTTCCTATTCAAGAAGCTTTTTCAAGCTTTGCAAAACATAGGATGGGAAGCAAAACGTCTTCAAACTTGGAAGTCAAGTGGGTTGCTTTTTAACATTGTTGCTCAAGGAACAGAGTTGAACAACAATGACAGTTTTCAAAAACTTTCCAGGGCCTGGAACTTCTTTTTTTTTCAAATTTGCAAACTTTAAAGGATTTCAAGGATCCTTTGGAACTAGGGGTGGGTGATTTATCGAATATACACCACATATCTCTAATTTCCCCATGCATAACAATTAAAGTGTAGTTTATAGTTAAAACTCCATCATAACCATCAAGTACAAATTTGCATGGCAAACTTAAGCCGTCTGCATCTATTTCACTGACAGTTTTTTTTTTCCCCAAACAATTTGAATGCATCTTAAACCCCTCTTCCAAACAGGATTATTTTACGAGTGGCACGCACACTAAAGCAACTGGAAAATGAAATATGGCAACAGCAGGTGTTTCAATTGGGCAATACTCGAATACCTGTAATGTGGTGTGGTCTGTTCAGAGGCATAGAAGGCGCAGGGATTAAAGCAAATAAAAAAATCCTGAGCCTGAACACAGGCAATAAACTCTGTGTGTGTGTATATATATATATATATATATATATATATATATATATATATATATATATATATATATATATATATATATATATATATATTAGGGATAGGACGATTTATGAAAACCGTCAGAACAGTTCGGTTCGACTGTCTCGGTTCGATTCGCGTGTGTTTCGTTCGGTTCATGCGCTGCTCCTTTTTCTCATAGGCGAAGCGTTTACACTCCAGAGCAGAAGGTGGCGGTACTGCCACCAAAGCCAACCACCAGTAGTAAACAAGAAGAAGAAGAAGCGAAGCAGCTTAGCCGGGTGTAGCAGGGAAAAAAATCAGTTGTTGTGGAGAATTGTGTCGGAATGGCGAGTGGGAAAGAACAGGAGTTGGAAGACGCGCCAGCAGCACTTTATAGGTCTGCTGTATGGGAGCGCTTTGGATTTAGAGTGACCTACGATGACGGCGGAAAGAAACACACGCGAATCGAACCGAGACAGTCGAACCGAACGGTTCGGACGGTTTTCATAAATCGTCTCATCCCTAAAAGGTTCAAATAATTACAATATTTAAGGTAGGCAATTGAATAATTTGCAACTATGCATGCTGGTTCAAAAGCAAAACCTTTTAGACTGTTCTCTTTGCATTGCCATAAAATACACTTATGTACAAACTAATCTCTCTATATTATTTTTGATCAAGAAGAATCATCAACAGGATGAAGAGAAAATGCCCCTGAACTAAAGATGAAACGGCAAACTGGAGAAAGTAAGCAGCCTCAGTGTGGAGCCTCATCATATCATGCATTTCCTGTATTAGATACGTCAAAGAGGCAGGCCTGGTCAATGCAAAGCCAGCTGCTGAAACACATGGGAGAACAGATGCTTTCTGCCAGAGCAAATGAAACACAGGGTCTCCAATTTGACTGGTGCCCAGGCTAAAAGCCTTTCTCTCTATTCTGTGCTCCATTATATGCTGGAACCTTCCATTTTTCTTTTTACTTAAACAGAATGTTCAACATTTGTTTTTAAGCACATCTCCACCGATAAAACATGTAAAGCAATATGGATAGTTTTTATGAGCATGGATGTGTTTCATCTTGTTCAGAATTAATCCAAAAGATAACCGTATCAGTGTTAATGTGTGCATGAATGCATTTGATGCACAGGTCTTCAGTGCATGCAACCTGCCAGGACTACTTCACTGCTCGCATGGAAACGAAGCCTCCGTCTGTTCCCTTATTAACAAGCAAGCTAAAACATACGAAAAAATAAATAAAAAATGACAATACACTGATGGAATGAGTCCCTGATGATGAGGCACATTTTTCTAGAATGACTAAAGCTCCCCCTAGTGGTCCTTGTTTTTATTTAATTAAAAACATTTGTTTAAAAGAAAAGCTTTTTCACATAAACACAATTAACAATGACTAACCTTATGTCAAGTCCTGTAGACAGTCCAATGTTTTCCCAGGTCTGGAGCTTCTCAGCCAGTTTCTAAAAGTAACCAAACATATAATCAAAGTTTAATGGTGGTCAGAGCAAAAAGAAAACTTAATTTAAGGGGTTTCTGATCCTTAAATGTTTGAAATGTAAATAAACCAGAAGAAACCAAATAATTTACACACTAAAGAGATTAGTTGATAGTAAAATCAATCTGTTGTGCATCTTACTCTACACTTGATTTTGATTAAGATTTATGTTAGGATATTTGGTGCCTTACAGTTTTAGAAATACTGTGAATTAATAATACTAGGTTGATGTTTTCAAAAAAAAATGTTTTCTTCAAAGCGTTGTCTAAACCTAACCCCTTTTTTGATAAGCTTAACTTCAGTATATGCATCATACAAAAGATACTTTGATTAATATCTTTGGACTAATTAATCAAATGTTCATTTGTAATCAGCACTAGTTTTATCTTCCATAAAAAATGCTTAATCCACATTAACCACTTTTGCTTCAGGATCCTCCTGAGGTTTAAGTTATCCTTGTTGTTTGTGCATTTTTTCCTTCCACTTAACTTCCCATCATTATTCTGCAATACAGCAGCTTGTTTCAACTTGGTCTGATTTGTAGCAATGACCAATTGTGACTGAAGGCTGGTTTATGCTTGATGCATCTATCTTCCGCACATAGAAATGAGGCAGGGTGAGCATTGTGTCCTGATGAAGCGTTCGAGCATGGATACTGTTCAAGGTTCTAGGAATAGTACTATAAGATGGCCAAAATGTGTAGGAAGGCCCTAAGATTGGAGCATGTGATTTGCATGTATGGTAGTGTTGGTGTTTATCTGATTGTCTAGAGATAACCATGAGAAAAGTCCAACATTAGATACTTTACCTCTTTCTCCAATTCTATATTGACCAGCTCCTCTTTGTTTTTCTCCATTCTCTTCAGCTTTTTCCTCAGCCCTTCCACCTCTTCTTTCAACAGGCTACAATTTTCTCTACTCTCCCTGTTTGAAAGACATTAAAAAACTCTCAACACATCAAACAAAAGATCAAAATGCTTGGTCTAGCATCAGAATGCACTTCTATTATTAGCTGAAATTTCAAAGATACGTAGAGATTTAACGTTCTGCAAAGTGAACTCTGCAACAGCACATATGTCATTAATAATGTGAGTCATTACATCCAGGCCTCATATTACTTTTCTGATTGGGTTTTTAATGCAAAGCTTCCTGATAATAACCTCAGGGTTCATGGCAGCACATCTGAGATACTGTCAGCATCATTGACCACTATGCTGACAGTAAGTTTTTTTTTTTATTCATCGTTTATTGTATTTTTTCATGTTGCTGTACACTAAGTACTTACAAATAAAGTTAAAAGCTTCCTCTGGTCAATTAAACAATGCAGGATATAGAATGTGGTGAAACATGAATAATTCCTCAGCAACGTGTGGGAAATTTAGAAAATTAAGAAGAGGTTATGGGTAGAATTTCCTGACAAATTGACTGGAGTTGGGGGGAAAAAAATACACCAACAACTAAATAAAGGAGCACAAATAAGAGAGAAAACGGACCTGAGGAAAGAGTTTTCTTCCTTGACATATTTAAGCTCCTTTTCCAAATCTGGAACTCTTGCCGCCTCAGACTGAATAATTTTCACAATAGCCATATCTTGTTCCTGCAGGGCAAGCCGTCTCTCCAGCTCCTGAAAAATCAGAGATACATTTATCAATCAAAACAAAGCTAAACCATTTGTTATGGCAAACTGCAGAAGCAAATGAATGAATGACAAAACATTAACATGAACAGACACGTGCTTCAGTTTTACACATACATATGTGGATGCAACATAAAAATCAAAGACAAAAAACAACAAATTCTATAATCCATAGTTTCCCATTATAGACAACTGTAAGAATGTATACCCTCATATAGACAAACACACCCCCTTGTTTAGTAAATAGCAGAATAATTTTACTAATTATTGTCTTTCTGAGTTAATCTTAGTCAACTTTAAACAATTTTTTGAACTTTGCTTTAGAAACACTGACTGTTTCTCCTGAAGGATGTTAAGCGAGGTGTTGGTCTAGTGGTTAGAGCAGGACTCTTGTGCTCTAAGAAGGTTGCAAGTACCCAGTCTGATCCCCTTAGCCTCCTCTCTGGGTTCCAAGGAAAGACCCTTAACCCGCGGATTGCTCCCCGGCGCCACACGATGGCAGTCCCCTGCTCCCCAAGAGGATTGGTTAAATGCAGAGGTAGGCCGTTTCTCAATTCACAACAACGCGAATACGGACTCTTTTACTCGCCAAGTATGTTCTTGAGAAGAACACAGGAAAGTCTGGACTTAGGGAGAACAGGAGCATGCAGCATAAATACGGGTCAATTGGAACAGAAGCGTACTCGTGATGTCACCACATGCATTTCACCTCCTGTTATCAATAGTATCTAGATAATAAATTTTTTTTTCATTTATTGGGGGAATAATAATTAACACAGTCACATAAACACAAATGGAATGAACATTTTTTCAAATAAAACAAAGAACCAGCGGTCCTTCACACACAGTTATGCCAAAAGAGGCCTGCTGCAGACGGGCTTTGATTAGCTCTGGCTACAGTTAGCCTTGAATGTCTACTGGTTGCCTCGGTCCTCTCAACTTCTGACATTTACTTTTTAATTACACATTAAATCAGTAAATGCACCATATAGTGACACATAAAAGTATAATGTTCTCGCCTCAAATGATCTTAAAATATTATTTTATTGAACAACGGCAACAGAAAAGAGAACTTTTAACTTAATACTCTGAGCTTTGTGATCGCTCCACTAGAAGCTGCTGCTGCCGCAGTGCATGCTGGGACAGCTGTCAATCTCAAGAACTGAGAAGTCTGATCTCATGCATACTCTGTAAAGAGGGAGGGGCGAGAACAACATCCGGGGACTTTGTCCGTTCTCTGTGTCCTATTGTTTTTGTGAATTGGAATGGTGCTGGGGCTGAGACTGATGATGTAACAGAAGCACTTGACAACGCACAGGTTGCTATTGTTCTCTTCAAAATCATGCACGAAGTGGCATTTCCCTTGATTTATGCACTTCTGAGTAATCCTCATGAGTTCTGCTGTTTGAGTGGCAGCCCCCCCTCTCCCCTGAAAATGAACAATTAGGGAATACCCCTTACAAGAAGCAGCTATCCTAACCAGGCTGTGCCCGCACTGTAAACAAACGACCTATTTCTTTGATCATGAAGGAGTGATTTGAGGCAGAGGGTGATGTTTTCTGCACAAAGTTGAGACAAAGTGGCCCTTTTAGCAGCTAATCTACTCAGTAAAATGGTTTGTCTTCTTTTAGCTAAAGTGCAAGTCATGACAATCAGTTTTGCTCTAACTTTTTAGGGTTAGCTCTTGTGTTCAAGGTAAGCTCCGACTCGCGTAAAGTTGTGCCTCTCTGTCATATGACTCATTCAGACACAGATCACAACCTACCAGGTAATACTGACAACTTTTTGAAAAATTCGAACAGACCTAAAAAAATATTTCATAGATCTTAATTGAGCTAATACATGAAGACATATGTTGATGTTTAAGGGACTTTTAGATTCTGCATATTTGTACTACAAAGCAGGTTCGATTTTCTGAGATCCTCATTTTTAGGGGTGACAACTGTTTACTGAATTACTGTCTACAACTTTTTATCATAAATCTAACAAAGAGTTTACATCCAGGCCTCATATAACTTTTCTGATTGGGTTTTTAATACAAAGCTTCCTGATAATAACCCCAGGGTTCATGGCAGCACATTTGAGATACTGTCAGCATCATTGACCACTATGCTGAGAGTAAGTTTTTTTTAAATCATTGTTTATTGTATTTTTTCATGTTGCTGTACAGGAAGTACTTAAAAATAAAGTTAAAAGCTTCCTCTGTTCAATTACACAATGCAGGATGTAGAATGTGGTGAACCGTGAATAATTCCTCAGCAATCAGTGTAAAATAAAAAAAAAATTGAATTACTGTCTACAACCTTTTATCATAAATCTAACAAAGAGTTTAATTAATCAGTTTTGTTTCTAAGCGCAACTTAAGCTATCACAAATTAATTTTACTTACAAAATTCCTCTAATAAAAGGTTGTTTGCTTATTTTGGGACGGCTGTGAAAAAGGTCCAAAGACATGAACAATCACTTAGAATTTCCTAAAGTCTAAGCACAATCCCAAACTTTACATACAGGTCATCAAACTGACTGAAACAAAGCACACCACATGTGGAAAGAAGAACAATAGATTGTTTTCCAAATTATATTCATTTCTTTTTTGCATTTTAGCCTCATTATCAGCCCCACAACCCATCTTCACTCCTTTGAAATCAATTTATCTTAGAGTAACTCATTCTTAGCATAAATACACAGCTCTAACAACTGATAGGTTTGCTTTTGCAAATTGATCTATAAGGCTTTGACTCAGGGGATGTATAAATGTAGGCCATATTTTCCATCTTTTATAAAATTAATAAGCTAAAACATACCTTAATCTTGATTATATGCTCTGAGCATGAGGACTGTGCAGCTTGGAGAGTTTGGCAAAGTTGAGAAGCTTCTTGATACTTTCTGGTAAACAAAAAGAAAAACAGAAGATTTGCATGTGATCAATATTTTCTTTAACATGGAGGGGCAGATTTCCAAGAGCATGACGGAGTGTGTCCAAACCTGCGCTGTAAATCCAGCTGTTCTTGTAGCTCCTGGTTTTCCAGTGTTTGGGAGGAAATGCTTGAGTCTTGGTTTTGAATCTTCTGCCTTAGATCTCTAATCTCATCCTTTAAAGCAGTGATGGTCTGGATATGGATGAATAAAGCAATTAGATGACGAGAAAATGACCAAAAAGCATGAATTCAGTCAGTGTATCACCGAGTCTCTTACCTGGTTGGCTGTAGACAGTTTAGTATCTCGCTCATCCAGCCTTTTCTTCAGCCCATCCAGGTTCTTGCGGAGAGAAGAGTTTTCTTCCAACTGCTCTGAGAGGTTTTTCGTTGCTTCTTTCTCTCTCTCCTCCAACTTTTTTATTTGCCCTAAAAGTCCTTGGTTACGGTCCACTTCATGCTGCAATAATAAACAGTAAACATTTAAAACAGAGAAGAAAAGGTAAAAATAAGAGCTGCAATAAACCCTTTTAAATAGAATCCGTTTATGCCTTGGGTTAATGAGTGGACATAGGCAGTAAAACTGCTTTGTACCTCCAAATCCCGAGCGTTGTCACAAGCTGCCTTCTCCAGTTCAAAACGAGCTCTTTTGTGACTCAGCTCCATCTGTTTCTTCTCTTGGTCCAGCTGAAGGTAGCGGTGCTGAGACTGAACCCTCTCTGCTGCTTCCAAAAACTAAGAGGGAAATCAAACTTGTCAGTGGCTACAAAGGTGGTTTTGATCACCTTGGAAGATCAATGTGAAACTTTTTTTTTTGTACCTCTAAGCTGCGTTTGTAGTGAGACTGCAAGGTCCCGCTCCGTGACTGCTCAGATGGACGCTGTGAATGTTCAGGGCGACTGATGAAAGTATTAAAGGACTTTAAGGTTGTTAGGATAGTGGTGTCATCTTCTAGATCCATTTTAAAGGGTCCCTGAGGCCGAGGTGCACTAATTAGAGGCAGAAAGCTTGAATAAAAACACAGAGACAGGACATCTTAGCACTACATTTATCATTGACATAGAAACCCTTAAAGGTGCAGTAGGAGATCTTTTCTGATGCCTTTTTTACCATGTGGCTTAAAGGAGAAGTTCGGTTTTTTACACTTTAAGCCCATTTTCTGTAGTGTCCAGGATGAAATCGAATGATCGACACCAAAAGTTTGACAATTGCTCCTGTCTCTGCTTTTTGGCTCATTTAGAATCACCCCCTGGCTGCTTTAGAATGGCTAGCATAGAGCATGTCCGATAATGTCCTTAAAACAACCTTAAACGTTCTTTTTTTAAAATATGCTACTCACCGTGTCGTCAGCGCTGTTCAATGACGTTCCAAAAAAGGTTTTGTGAAGAAAAAACATTCCTGTAGTGTTTTATTAAGCATTTTGTAAATCCCATTGAGTTCTGTTGGAATAGTCAATATTCCGCTGCCACCGGAAACGGAAATGGGGCCTGTTTACACAGTTGTAGTCTTTTCGCTTCACTCTGTGTACTCCGACGTCGAGGTGCTAACGTCTCTGTTAAACACTTTAAAAAACTCTGAAAATGGAATACGAAAGGTGGATTCTTGATTCTCGACGTCGGAGTACACAGAGTGAAGCGAAAAGACTACAACTGTGTAAACAGGCCCCATTTCCGTTTCCGGTGGCAGCGGAATATTGACTATTCCAACAGAACTCAATGGGATTTACAAAATGCTTAATAAAACACTACAGGAACGTTTTTTCTTCACGAAACTATTTTTGGAACGTCATTGAACAGCGCTGACGACCCGGTGAGTAGCATATTTTAAAGAAAGAACGTTAAAGGTTGTTTTAAGGACATTATCGGACATGCTCTATGCAAGCCATTCTAAAGCAGCCAGGGGGTGATTCTAAATGAGCCAAAAAGCAGAGACAGGAGCAATTGTCAAACTTTTGGTGTCGATCATTCGATTTCATCCTGGACACTACAGAAAATGGGCTTAAAGTGTAAAAAACCGAACTTCTCCTTTAAAGATCTCCCCACAGTCGCATAGCAAGCAGTGAAATAGGTCTGGAAGTGAAACAAAAGTAAATGGTCCCCACTACAGTGTGAAACGCCCACCAATCACAAAACACGGTCCCTTGTGCACTATTTTTTCCTGACACGTCAATCAGGGCCACCTGCTTGTCCTAAACCCCTGTGCGCATATCCTGACACATGAACGAATCGACCCCCAATGGTCTTGCAGGACGCCATGGCTGGAAGCTAGCCACTGCTAAGCTACGTTCACATCTAAAGTAGCAAGAGCAGCAAAAACGCGCGTGCTGCTTCATTTTTGATGCTTGTACAAGTTTAGTTATGACGTGCTGAAGAATCTCTGCTACTCTGACTTGCGCGGTGGAAAAAGTGGGTCGAATAGCCGTTGGGCAGAGCTATATTTCCTGTGATCAGTGGGTAAAAAGTAGTTTTAACCTATTTTGAAGTGAGAAAGTCCACCTGAAAACTTCGTCAGTGCTTCAAATACCCTGCCCGGCGGTGCGGTGTCACTAGGAATCCCATTCAACAGCAGCCCATGGCCTGGTTGCCTCCTCGCGGTTTGCCGCGGCTGGAAGAATCCTGCAGTTTAGATGTCAGAATCCAAATTTCGATTTCGGCATTTTAAGTTAATTTAGGCGTTAATAAACTGTTTCAGAGGAGTGATCATAGCGTTCTGCATCATCAGTGCTGCCTGTCTCCCTGCCAGCTCCCAGATCAGCAACACACTGCTTCAGCTGCTCTAGACGTGCTGCAGGACCTTTTGCTGCGCCGTGATGCGCGTCAACAATTGACATTGCATGTAAATTAGCTGCTTTAACTAACTCTCAGCTTGTTTCGTTCTCAACCTCAGCTGACCACCTCGACAGACAGAATGCGTGTTCATGTGTTTTCAAGTTGTGGTTTCGAGGGGTGGTCTGAAGGGATGGGCATGGTTGTATATGTTCACAAATATAGCTTGCTGGAACTGTTTTTCCAAGATCTCCTCCAGCACCGTTGAGTAATAACCGAAATAGATTGTTCTTAACAATTATAAGCCCAGTTATTTGGGTAATTTCAAAACATGTATTTTAAACTTTGTCTTAAAAAATATGCATGTATTGCAAATCAAAAGGAACACTTCAGCATTCGTTTTTCTTATTTTAGCAAACATGTTTAGGATATTGCAATGTTCTTCATATTTTCAGCCTAAGCTAAAATCCAGACACAAATCTAAGTGACTCTACCGTCTTGGAATAAATGAATTACTATTGGCTGGGAAAGTAGTTCTATTCCCAAACAGCACCGTATTCATTGCTTTGAACGATAAAGTAAATTTACATTTTTATTACAAATGAACAAGCTAATCAACCAGAAATCGCAAGAAGGCATTTTTTTTTTTTTTTTTTTTTTTGTTCCACCATGCTTTGAAGCATATATGTAAAAAAATGTACTCTGTACATTTGTTAGTTTTATTTAAGGGCTGCAACTAAAGATAATTTCAATCTTTAAAATAAATTTAAACCACAATCTGTTGATTATTTTGTCGATTAATCAATTAATAATCGGATAGCACGTGGTTCTTATAGGCTTAGAAGAAGTGACAATGTAAAACCAAGAAAACCTAACCTTAAGAAATAGGGAAGAATCTGGTTTTAAAACTATCAGCACGGCGTGCAGTGGTTAGAGGGTGCCATGTTATTAAATCCAAGCTAAATGAGTAAAAACAAGGATATATTTGTCAGCAAGCTGGCCTCTGTCTAGAAAATTTAGTTTTCAGAAGCCAAAGCACAAACCAAAGTAAATAGTGAAAGCAGCTATTAAATAACAGAAATTATATTTTGTTTCATACACGTGTATCGATATGCGTATGCGCTATTAGCATTTATTTATTATAAAATGAAGCTAAAATAAAAGAACACTTACAGGCAAATCAAACGTAGCCAATAGTTAACTGTTGCTATTGTTTGCTAAAGAACGATAAACCCATAAACATACCGTAAAACATGTGTAAAAACAAGAGTCTTTCATCTGGAAGTTATAACACATTACCTTAGCACTGCTGCTTGTGAACACGGGCAGGTTCGCCGAGGATAAACTTATATTTCCCTCCTGCTAACTACGTTAGCTACTCTTCGTGTGAGCTGCCCAGAAATCCCTCCAGTTAGACTCGAATGACATGCGCGTAACATCGCGAGACTTCTTCTTCTTCTTCTTCTTCTGAGATTTTATGGCGGTTGGCAGACTTGTGAATTGTGCATTACCGCCACCAACTGATATGGAGTAAAGCAAGAAAACAGGAAACGATTCACCCCCCCAAAAAAAAAAAAAAAAAAAAAAACCTGTGTAACTTAAACCAACATAATACTAAATCACATTTGCCCATATAATTTTAATTTACTCTAGGTCATCGTAATTCTGCCAGTTTCTGATGGTCCCATCGGTCCTCCCATCATGCTTCCAACCATCTCCCAGTTCAAATCTTTAATGTCCAGATATTTTTCTGCAGCCTTCACTATTATTTTGATTTTTTCAGTTTTTTTTGTTGTCTGTGCAGTACAATTAATCACTTCTACCATGAAAAGAACAAAATTTGTCTTTTTAACAATTAGTGAGTCTTCATCAATTTTTGGAGATTTCTCTAGAGGTTTGGAATTTGCTGTGTGTTGAACTGTAGGTTTGGGTTTTTCTGACTGAGATGGGATCCTTTTTGCAGCTTCAGCGTAGGTTATTCCGAGCTCAAATTTCATTTTTTTTATTTCCTCAGACCTTTTGCTTGCTTCACAGCCGCGATAAGCAGCAGTATGTTCTCCACCACAATTACAGCATTTTATTTTAGCTTCTTTTCCACATTTTCCGTACTCATGTTCTCCTGCACACCTTCCACATCTCTGTTTCCCTTTACAAACTGCTGCAATGTGACCGAATTTTTGGCATTTGAAAAATCTCAGTGGTGGAGGATTGTAGATTTTGACATTATAGCTTATGTAACCGATGAATACTTTGCTTGGTAATTGCTCTTCTTCGAATTTAATTAACACCGATAAACTGGCAGATCTTTCTCCGTTTCTTGTTGTTTTTAACCGTTTTACTTCTTTTACTTTTGCACCGCTTATGTTTTCCAGAATCTCTTTTTCAGAAATTTTTAGAGGAACTCCTCCAATGACTCCCCTGCTGATCTTTTTGTTCTCCATTAGGCTGCACTGAACTCTTATCCCGTCAATTTTGTTGATACGTATTGCTTTGCCTTGCTGGGCGCTGTCTCTGCAGTTAATTAGCAGGTCTCCACTGTACAGAATTCTGGCACCTCTGACTTCTCCGACAAGTTTATTGATGGTTTTTGTTAAGTGAACCGGATTCCAATTTGTAAAAGAGTCTGCCTGATTAACGACTTTGAATATGACTTTGAATTCATTTTGTTGTGCTGTGGAATGTATGGATTGATCATCACTGGATTGTTCTGAACTAGATTCCCCTTTAACTGATCTCTGTTTTTTCCGCTTTTTCTCATTTTTTGATGTTGCTATCTTCCAACCTTCATTGTCACTATTTCCCTCTTCCATCCCACAAGAATCGCTTCCTGTTTCCTCACTACTCACGGCCCAGGACATCTCTCCACAAGCAGCTTCAAAACACGCGCCATGCACCAAACGACCCTCCCTCTACCTTCCCTCGCGAGACTTCTTCTTCTTCTTATGTTTTTATTGGTGGAAGGCAACCAACTTAAGGTGCATCGCGAGACTTTAAACATTTTAATTATTTCAACTTTCGTTTCTATACTTTGTCCACATTTAACGATACGGAGGGCTCAAAATAACGTGAAAATTAATAATAATAATAGTAATAGTAACAGTTTTCTGTGGTTAAGCTTCTTTTCAATTGCGTAAAGTATCTAAAAATATCTAGAACGTTTTACTATTTAAAAAGTTAATAAATAAACAACTAAAAACAAAACAAAATGCGACTGACTATGTTATTTGCTTGTTTTTGCATCAGCCTATCGAGATTCAGATTAATGTAATTAAGCAAGTTGTCCGTTAGAGGGCAGCAAAACCATATTTATGTTTTTTATACATCCTGAATTTATAATAACAAGCTTTTATTTCACTGGT